TGCTGGTCAAATATTTTCTATATTTGAACTTTAGTAGAAATTGAACAGGATTCCTCAATGAAATAGAAATTAAATGAAAGTTGAAAAAGAGATTGAAGATAGAAAAATAATGGCTTTTCCAGAATCCATAATGGCCTTTGGGTTTTTGCTATAGTGATGGGTTCTGTTGACTAGCACCCTTAAAATTTCTACATCTTTGGCATAACTGACACTGGAGAGTCCCCACATTTTCATTTTAGAATGTGAAATGCTCTTTTTTTTTTTGGCTGAATCATTTTCCGCCTTCTATTTTCTCACTGTGGATGAACTATACAACTTCTGACCCAAACCCTCTGTTTTATCTTTCAATATTCACTTGAGGAGATTGATCCCTTCCTAGATTTCACAATTGTCCTAATATTAATTATTTCAAAATCTGGTCAACTCTAACTTAACTACACTACTACTGTAAAAAAAAAAAAAAACTGAGAAAGGTCTCTATGATATTGGAACCCTCATATACTCCTAATAAAAAGTAAAATGGTACAGCCTCTTTTGAAATCAGACTGACAGTTCCTCAAAAGTTTACACATAGAGTTAGAATATGACCCAGCAATTCCACTGCTAGGTATATATATTCAAGAAAAATGCAAATATATGTTTATACAAAAAGTTGAACACAAAGGTCCATAGCGGCATTATTCATAATACTCAATAAATAGAAATGATCCCAAATGGCCATCAACTGATGAATGATTAAATAGAATGTGGTATACAATGGAATATGATTTGACAACAAAAGGACTGAAATACTGATTCATGCTACCACATGGATGAACCTTGAAAAATTGCATTAAGTGAAAGAAACTGATCACAAAAGACCATATATTTGTGTAATTCCATTTATATGAAATGTCCGGAATAGGCAAATCTGTAGAGATGCAAAGTAGATGAGTGGATGCCTAGGGCTGGGGTGTGTTTGAAGGAAGTGGGGAGTGACTGGTAATGCGCTTGGGATTTCTTTTTGCAGCAATGAAAATGGTCTCAAATTGATTGTGGTGTTCGTTGCACATTATTTTAGTATAATGTGATTATACTAAAAGCCATTGCGTCCTTTAAATAAGTGAATTGTATGGTATGTAAATTATATGTCAATATAGATATATCACATAAATGTACACATATATGTACATGTATATACATATATATGTATATATACGCACGCACACATATATATGATATCTCCACATAAATGTATCATAAGCCACCCACCTGTTTCCCTATTGCCATTATTTTTTCAGACTCCTTAGCAATAAACTAGGAAGCATTTCTTTTCCCTTCCCTTTTAATTCTTTTACGAAATCTATCATTAAGCATTGTGCATTTCTTTGGTGAGTACTTTGTAGGAACTTAAGGTAAAATGACAGGTGAATAGCAGCACCAGGAAACTCTGTCCCCTAAATTGGACATCCTATAAAATCAATCTTTAAAGTTTAGATTCTACTGCACAAAAGAATTAAATACTGAGTAACTAAAATTTTATTATCAGTGTATCTAACTCTAAGGAACTAGGAAGGTCAAAGTCAATAACTAATTCCAACAATAACCATCAAAAAAGTTCAATTAAAGTTATCGAGAAAATTTTAAAATTTTGTTCAAAATAGGGAAAATAAAATACTTAAAATATTCCTATAACTAAAATATAGAAAACTTCAAAATTGATTTATTGCCACTTATTAAAAGATAGTTCAAACAAATGGAGATTCATTTAAAAAATATATGAAGACGAATATTTTAACTGTTTATTTTCCAAATTATAGGATTAATGTAATTCTAATCAAAATCTGAGTAAGATTTTTTTGCTTTAAAGTTCAAGAAAAATAAAATAAAATTCAGGAGGAAAAAGAAGCAGATATATATCTTTTTAATTCGAAAAAGTAAGGGCAAAATTGGAGCAGCACGTCACATATTTGGATATATAAGATATATAAAGTTTCTGTTACAAGGACCGGGCAAGTCTAGCATGAGACAGTAGAGCATTGTGGAGAATGTGATACATGAGAGAGTAGTCATGCTCCCTGTCTAAGAGGATTCTGGTCTGATCTTTAAAAACAGTATGTGTTTGCCATGCTTTTTATCTCCCTAAGCTCTTTTGGAACTCATCACATTTTTTGTTGAATATTATTCACCAGGTGTCTAAGAGAAATGTATATAGAAGTTATTTATAGTTTTAACTGGAATTTATTGTTATTACTATTATTTTGCAGTAATTCTTAATGGAGAGGGTGGAACTTTGAGAGTCAGTGGGGTTTTTTTCAAACTCTGCACAGCCCTCCCACAGGATGCTCCCTCCCAGATGAAGTGATTACCACCCTGAGAATTATTGCCTTAGTTAACTACAGATTAGAATAAGTTTTATTACCTTTTATATGTTTTTGTGGAGATAAATGTGTGAATACCACAGATCTAAAGTGAAACGGAAATCGTTTTAAGTACTTGGTTAATGGAATCCATCAACAGCAGCCTCCATAATTTCTAGTTTTTGTTCTGTAAATCAGAAATCTCAATCACCAAGTTGAAATTTATGACTGCATTTCTGGCCTTCCTCTAAGGCTTAGTGTCTCAGTCAGTTCCTACCACTGTGGCTTTCTCTGCCACACCTCATCCTGCAGTTTGCTAGATTTCTCCTTGGAGAGTGAATGAAAACCAAGTTCAGGACTTGGCTTTCAATAATCCTGGTCCCATTGCTCTGGCTCTTTGATAGCCCCATTCCCCTTGGGGATATACACGCTGTGATCTCGGGCGACCAAAGGTATTCCTGTTGAGCACCCTTGAAGTTACATGCTTATCCTGAGAACAGAAGCAAATGTGACATTTAAAGGGACTGTTTATTCAACCTGAATGTAGGGGTGACAGTTCCAAAAGCAGTTACTTGTCAGAGTTCAATCATTAAAATCTATACATATTTTTTCCAGGTTTAGTATACTGAAAAAATATAATATAGATGAAAACACTTCAGATTTGGAGTCAAAATGCCGTTGGCCTTGCCATTTACCAGCTGCATGTACTTGAACAAGTTAGTTAATCTTCTCTGCTTGTTTCTATGATTTAAAAATATGTATAATTAACATAGAACTTAGCTTTAAATCCTCATAGTGGTGTTGGTTGCATAAGAGGAGATGATGTATGTATGAGTGCATGGTGATTATTATTATATGTGGTAAAAGCCGTGTTCCTTGATGAGACATGAAATCAATATTATTTTATATGCTGAGATTATTTTGAAGCAATATGAAGCGAAAGATTCTTATTTTCATTTTCATGATCAATAAAGTTTCAAACCAATTCATTTGTAATGACACAGGACCTTAAAAATAAAAATGTTGGGGCCGGCCCTGTGGCCGAGTGGTTAAGTTCCCGAGCTCTGCTTCTGTGCCCCAGGGTTTCACTGGTTCAGATCCTGGGCACGGACATGGCACAGCTCATCAAGCCACGCTGAGGCGGCATCCCACATGCCACGCTAGAAGGACCCACAACTAAAAATATACAACTATGTACTGGGGGGCTTTGGGAAGACAAAGGAAAAATAAAGTCTTTAAAAACAAATTAATAATAATGTTTTTGCAATCAAGTGTGCAGCTTAGGTAAGCATCAGGTGTTTGTATAATTAAGATAATCTGAAGTTTTTAATAAGCTGTATTACACATGGACTGCTAACAGTGCACAATCACCATCTTATTTCTTTTATAATAGTGCTTTTAGTATTCCACTGAAACATGGCCAGTGAATGCACAATATTCTTAGTTACCATTATGAGGGGCTCTGTATATTACAGCCTCTCCACTGTGTCTACTGTTAGCTAGAAAAATGCTGGGAGCAACAGCAGCTACTATCAACAGGGAGCCATATTAATTATTTGAAATGTGCCTCATAAGAGGAATCAGCAGAGTTTATTACAAGTCGAATATTACTTGAAACAGGAAGGTTACTCTAACTGTTATCATAATCTATGTATCATTAACTTTCCTTGTTTAGGAAAAGAGATTAACAACCCTGTAAATTGCTATAGTAAATGTGTAAAATATAACTGCATATTCCCATTGTAGAAAGAAAGTAGTGGGTCCTCCACTTCTACCCAAACCTTCTTTATATGAAGTAGCTTTAGAATTTGAATTGACTCTGTAGCTATGCTTTCTTGCCTCAAAATCCTAATTGCTTACTGGATCATTAGTATACAAGCTATAGCTACTTTGAGCATTAGAAACTTTTTTTGTTTTTAAGCTAGCAGTTTTTTCGGTCAGCATCTGGGCCTTCAAATCTGTCACAAGACAGAAAGTATACTACAAATATGTATGTGAACTGGCCGAATTCTTTGCAACCAATAAAGAATGAATCCATCTACCTGCTCTTTATATTGTGGTTAATTATTATTTTTCCATCAAATACAATAAATGGATAGGAGTAGTTTTCTATTCAAATAGTAGAAGCAAATCTTAAAAATAAAATATAAATAATCAGGATTATAAAGTTATCTAAATAAGTGCTACTCAAAGTGTTATCTGACATTGATGTCAGTCTGCAGACTGTTTATTACTGATCTACAATGAAATAAGTGCAGAAATTGAGAGTAAATATTTAGAAGCACTTACAGCAAATTGATAGAGTACTTAATGTCTATTTAATCTAACAATAAAACCTGAGGACTTGTATTTTGTCTTATGTTTAGTTTTTACATTTCACTTGTCTTGTCAATCATTTTTATTGTATTTTTAAAGTGTCACTCCACAATAAATTTGTAATTTAACCAGAAAAAGAGAAAAGCTAGATAGTTTAAGAAGAATTGATTTAATTGGTTGATGGTTGGATGACACGTAATGTTTCTATGTTTGGATAGATCTGTCTCAACTTTGTAATGGCTATTAATTCAGTGTGAAGAGAGATAATGTGACATCATAAAGACAAAAAAAAAGTGAAGAGACATAACTACAATGTCTTCTCACCATTTATTTTTGGGTCCACAGGGCAGGCACATCATGGACAGGTGTCCTACATTTCTCCACCAATTCACCTTGACTCTGAGCTAGAAAGACCCCCTGTCAGAGGTGAGTTGTTTTTTTTATCATTATTTAAAGAAAGAGAAACTCTATTCATTCTTGGATGAAGGCAAGTAACTAAATTAAAGATGGGTGTAAATATATAGTTTACAATGCAGTACCTGTTTAAAAAGCAGGGGAAATGGTGTGTAAGGAATCTGATAACAAAAGAGTAAGTCTTCTTTATAAAATGAAGTATAAATATTTTTCTGTGAAATGTTTGTAAACCAAAACAAGAAATGGGGATCCTTAGCAATTCAACTAGTGGAAGACTAGTTGAAATCCAACTAAATTTAGAGCTTATCAGATAACCATTACTATTTTTATTGGAACTTTCTTCTTCTACTATCCTATTTTTTATAAATTAAGATGTTTTAATCTGTCATATTGACAGATTTATTTCCTTGCAGAGTGATATTTTATATTCTATTATTATTCTTTCTGAAAGTCATTTTAGTATTTAATGATCACTTAGTTTTAAAACTGTGTAAGTTAGGGCCAGCCCAGTGGCACAGTGGATAAATTCATGCTCTCTGCTTCTGTGGCCTGGGGTTCATAGGTTCGGATCCCAGGCACAGATCTGCACACCACTTATCAAGCCATGCTATGGCAGGCATCCCACATATAAAATAGAGGAAGATGGGCACAGATTTAACTCAGGGCCAATCTTCCTCAGCAAAAAGTTGAGGATTGGCAGCGGATGTTAGCTCAGGGCTAATCTTCCTCAAAAATACCCACAAAGTATAAATTAAAATTATGTATTTTAAATTGATGCCTCCTGTTCAGAGATTTTTAAAAATAACATCATACAAATTGAAAGTAACATTTATTGTCTCATAAGCTAAATACAGAATTTGTCTTTCTGCTTTTAAAGAAATACTTACTAATGATTTCCAAAATGTTTTATAATGTTCAAAGCTGATGTAATATAGACATACCTTTGAATTTTATAAATACCAAATATCCTAAGGTTAATTTTTCAGTTTTAAGTAATGCAATATATTTTCTTATACTTTCAACAGTATTAGTTACTTGATACAATAGAAGTCATTAGGTCTGACTTTTATGAGCATGTTTTCTATTCATGCTATTTTCTCTGCCAGGAGTCTCTTACCTTTTCTTTTCTACCCAACAACTTTCTACCAGTGTTTCAAGGCTCTCCTTTATCTTCAGTTCCTGTTAAACCTTCTCTGACTACCTGACTACGTACTAGAGAGGAGCTAAGTGCATGTCTCTGTTCTCCAAATGTCCTTGTGCTTGCCTCACTTATTGCACCTAAGACATTGTATTTTATTTTTCAGTGTACATGTTTCCCTTTCTCTTCTGTAAGGTCCTTGAGGGCAGAGAGGGTCATAATTATTATTTCTCCTCCAGCCACTGATCTGTGCTTGGCACATGGTAAGAACTCATACAACGATTCCTATCTAAGTGACTGAAAGTGAAGGTAGCAACCGAGATTCTAAGGACGCATCCTCATTTTTCAAGAAGAAAAGGGAGTAGGGATGACAATGGGAATCCCACAAAGAGCAAGCAGAATGAACCAAAACACGACTATGGGAAAGTTTGTGATATTTTTAAGGAAATGTGCTGAGTGCACAGTAAAATGGGAGCAGTTTTAGAGAAAGAGACTGGAAGATGCAATGAGGCAGATTGTGAAGGATTCTGTATCACATGCCAAAGAGTCTGTATTTTATCCTGGAAAAAAAATCATGAAATGTTTTTAATTTTTAAAAAAATATTCCTAAGTCAGTGGGGTGTTACATCATAACATTATCAGTTCTTGATATGAGAAAAATAGCTTTCCAGTCAGTGTAGATGATGAGAGATTGGCAGAGGGAGATGGTTTCAGTAGTCCAGATAAAAAAATGACTGGGAAATTAGTTAACAGTGTGTTGACAGCACTGTCAGGGCCTGAGAAATATTTTGAAGAGACATGGCATTTGACTGAATGGATTCAGAGAAAGGAGCAGAAATGTCTCTAAAGTTTTTATACTGATTAACTGGATGTTGATTACATAATCCTGCATCATGAGGAATAGATGAATTTTAAATTGATGCATAGTTTTAGACTTGTTAATTCTTAGTAGAATGTTGTTCCTACCAAAGCTGGAGGCCTATTTCTGCAGGTTGGTAACTTCAATATAACTCAGTTCTTTAGACATGATCCCAGTGTGATTGGGGAAGAATACTGTAAGGTTGTGGGAAGGGTAGTGTAATAATCCACTCCAAAAGATAATGACTTAAAGCATGAAACATTTATTATGGTTCTCAGAGTTGGTTGAGTCATGTGTGTGCTCACTTGGCTGAGGCTGGATGTTTACTAGTTAGCAGGCAGATTGGTTTTGCAAGGGAGGGAACTCACTTATTTGGTATTCACTTTGATGTCATCCAGGGTGATGGCCATATGGGCTTTCATCATCCAGCAGGCTCATTCCCATTGTAACAGGATTCCCAACAGTAAGTAATCAAGTCCCAAAGTTCAGGTATTTTTCAAGCTTGTATCTTTGCTATGTCCCATTGTCCAAAACAAGTCACATAGCCAATCCCAGACTTAAGAGGGTAGAAATAGACTCCATCTCTTGATGGAGGAACAATGTCCAAAGGACTATGAATGCAGGAAGGAGAGGAATTTGGACCATTTCAAACTGCCATAGGTAGACAGATAAAGAGTAAAATATATTTAGAGTGAAATAAGACAAAAACTGATAAAATGAAGGGATTTAGAGCCAATAAATTTAAACTTAGGAGTTCTAGACCTTTCTTATCTTTAGTTTCTTCAACTACTACGTAGAAGGTCAGAAATAAGAACTTTGCAGTGTCTTTGTGAGGATGAGAGATAATACAGAACAAAGTCTGGCATCTGGTAGGCCCTAGATAAAATGTGGCTATTACCATGTGCTTTTGGGTTCACAGCTGTGGCATATGGGACGAAATTGGGTTTTGGAGCCAGGCAGACCTGCGTGACCTTGGGCAGCTTCTGTCTGCCCTCTGTAAAACAAGGATAATAATGCCACCTGGCAAGTCTATTAGGATGATTAAGTGAAAGAGTAAGTATCAAGTTCCTGGCAAATACCTGATATAAACTAGACCCCGAAGAGGAAATAAGTAGGTAGGCATTATTAAAAGTTTCACTTTAAAACGGTATCACCTTAAGAGCCGGGCACGGAGGTGGAACAGTGATTAAGTTCACGCACTCTGCCTTCTTGGCCCGGGGTTCACAGGTTCATAGCCGGGGCATAAACCTACACACTGCTCATCAGGCCATGCTGTAGTGGCATCCCACATACAAAATAGATGAAGATTGGCACAGATGTTAGCTAAGAGACAATCTTCCTCAAGCAAAAAGAGGAAGATTGGCAACAGATCTTGGCTCAGGGCCAGTCTTCCTCTCACCAAAAAAAAGCATCATCTTAGTAAAAGTAGTGATGTTATTGACCTGGTAACGAATGAATCACTAGAATCCAACAGTTGTCTCTGCTTGATATCTGCCTTATATTGTGCTCTGTCTACATTAGGACAACTGTCTTCATAACTTCTAGTTCTCATATCATTCCTCTACATATATTGATCCAGAGACCCTCCTAAACTACCCTGTGGTTAATACAATTGTAGTTATAGTGACTAGCTCATGTGCCACAGTCCTGCAATTTTCAAAAAATTAACATTTAATTAGATAAAGAGGTTTGTATAAATCATCAAAATAATATTGCAAAAAAATCTTGTGCTTTGTTCTTAAAACTAATTCATTTAAAAATGAATATTGCAGATAGGATAGAGTTGGCATAATAATATCATTACGTTGGAACCACAAAGTATTTCCTTTCAACTGTCACCTCTCATCTTAATTTACTATTTTTAATTATACTATACACTGTTGTTATTTATATGCAGTCAAATTATACAAATGAACTATATCGATGTCTATTTACATATATAAGTATATATATAAACAGAAAGAGAGAATCTCATGTATATTATATGTTTTTATTTGAATTTATACAATAAGAAAAATTAGGTTCTTTAAATAATTTGAAATTCTATCTCCAATAATTGTTTCTTTTGTGTGGAATTATATAGCAATATCCTTTGAACTACATAAATATTAACATTAGCTAACCCTTTTAGCTTTCCTTTTTCTGTTTTTCTACTATAATTTTATACATATTGAGAATATGAGAGATGTATCTAGATATTCCCTTCCCCATTGACCTCTGGCTCTCTCTATTCTTTCTCTCCTTTCTTGTATCAATTTCCACTAGTCTATGTGCATGTTAATATTTTGGGAATTATTGCTTTATATGTTAATTCCTTGTATATTTTACAGACAACTAGCAATACAAAACAACAATGTTAAAAAATGTGTTAATATAGTTATCAATATTAGCCAGGAAACTTTTCAGTACAAAATATGAACTATCTAACCTACAATAACACATCAGATTGCCTACATATTTTGCCATTTTATTCTGTTCTCATCTGAAGTATTTTGGATTATTTGGTACTTTTTTTTTTTTTATTAGCAATTGTGCTTTGGGTGTTTGAGACAGAGAATTAATTATTGGTAACTTTGGAATTGTGTTTTAAAACTCTGTTTTGAAAAATAATTGTATAATTATTTTTCCAAAAGGAAAAAAATCACATTTTCATCCTTTTTTGGTGTGTGTCCTCAAGTTGTATATCGCCTATGAATCATTTTGTGGGTTCTTTTGTTTTTTTATTTCTCCTCATTGTTTGATATCTCTTTCTCCTCTTTGCTAACATGGCAGCAGCCTTCTAAGTGATTTCTAGCTTATAGACCGGCCTCTCTTTAATCTGTCCTCCATACTAAGACACCCTCTGTCTAAAATCCTTCACTAGCTCCCGTTCTTTTTTTTTTTTTTTTTGGAGGAAGATTAGCCTCCAGCTAACTACTGCCAGTCCTCCTCTTTTTGCTGAGGAAGCCTGGCTCTGAGCTAACATCCGTGCCCATCTTCCTGTAGTTTATACGTGGGACACCTACCACAGCATGG